TCGTAAAACCAAATTTGTTTGTAAATGAGTGTACTTCGCTAGATACAATAGTTGTTTTACGGCAGGGTGCAGATCCATTAAATTTCACCGCTGTTCATTCGTGAGGCTCAAAAGAAGTTGCGAAGTTTCCCACTATTGGTAACGAAATTCTGGTAGTAAGGCGGCTTCACATGTACACCGCAAGTTAGTTGTATTCTTAGTGGAGTCCTTTCTAGAATGTATTCGGAACTAGTATCCAGTTTGGAGAAATAAAAACAATTATAGTGGTGAGTTACCACTGGTTGTGGCTATCAGAAACACACACTGTGGGGTTCCACGGCTCCGCTATAACGCACGCCGTTAGCTTGTGTTTACGTGAGATTCATTCGGACAGCTTCAATGTAACTTCCTGTGAATGTGTGGGATCAATTGAAAGTGGGTGAAATCTGTTCCTGTAGACGAACTTGGGGATCTGGGACAATAAAGTTCTTATTATTTTGCGGTCAAGTTGAATTGTTGTACGTATTTCATAAACAGTGATTTTTTCCGAAGCCAGTTGATCCCGCCTTGAATTGAATTCACCTCTTGCTTTACTGTGTGGTTTTTGTCGTTAGCGTCTTCATTGGAATACGAATGGTCACCTGGCACACGTTATTGATTATCAGGGATTTAAGCGGATTATCGACTGTTATACCGAGTAGTCCCCTGCTTGGGAATCACTTATCCCACAACAAGTAGATTGCCATCTATTACGTCCTATATTTTGCGTATTCGCGGATCTTGGCCTAAGTGACTTCTCAGTTTTGAAGAATCATTCTGTCCTGTCACATTAGTCTCCCAAAATCTGTTTTACTTAAAGACTGGGTTATAATGTGGACCAATCATATGGTGACACTTTTATAAACTACGTGTGAAATTTGGTTGTGGGTGCATGAACTTTGTTTAGAGCCCTGAATGGGCACTAATTATAGCGGAACGATCCCTCGGTTATGTGAAAGAATAAGACGGCCCTCCGATGTCTATCAAGCCTGAAGATGTGGCGGACTGTGCACAATTACAGTGAGCTCCTGTTCTTTGTCATATTCTCCTCATTTTGATAGACTTTTCTAATGTCTTCTGCATCGCAAACTGGTCACTGAACAGCCATCCGTTCAGTTACTTATCGGGAGGTCAATGCAGCATCTCCAAGGTTACCAGTCCCAAATGACTGGGGCTCGGATTCTAAAATATATTTAACTACTCATGAGTAATACGTGGAAACCGCATATTAAGTGGGGCGCGTCGACAGAACACCTGAGGAGCTTCCTGGCCATTTCTTGCCTGACTGGACCATTGAGCTGAGCGCTTACAAGACATTTCCAGAGACACAGAAGACATTGGAGGTTGAACTATTGGTCAGTGTGACTAAACGTCGAGGTGTCCAGTTTGAGACCTGACTTTTCATCCACGTGAAACATTTCGTCCGTTTCTGTAGATCGGCTACCTGTCTTCCGTTCCCGAAGCACAGCAAAGGTTAGGGTGAATGACTTTTCACAGTAGAGGTGTCATGTGGAATTTTAAGGGCCTATTTCCGCGCGTTAGTATTCACTCTTGCAAGTGCTCTGTTCCGACAAAGCGTGCGTGGATTTTGCCATGGCATCAGGATCACCCGAATACTGCATCCGGTCTTGCTGAGTGTACATTTCTCATGAAAACCAAACGTGGTCTTTTTCTGGATTGGTCTTTATATTCATGAACAGATTTCATTCCTTACCGAGCACTATCATTTCGTTGGTTGTGTCAGTGAACTGTACACCTAATTCATCACAACCTCAAAAATTCAATGTGCAGAAACTAATCGCATGCATGCATTAGTCGCTCTGGATAAACTTTATGGTGAATAAGACCACCTTGAAAAGCCGCTTTTGAGAGGTCCGGTTCGGGTCGATACAGTGGCGAAAGTGAGTACCTGAAGCTCGAAAACCTTATCCAATCGGACTGGAATTGTTTACATGGTCGAAAAATTAAGACAAACACTCCGATTTCATTATGAGAGCCCTTGACACATATCTTCGATTCTCGGACCAATGACCAGTTGATCAGTAAATATTGATCTAGAGTTTGAAGCATTCTAAGGCTACGTCTTCAGGTAGGCCAAATTTTCGGAATGAATATTAGCTGACTGACAACCAACAAGGAATATTTTTTCTACCGAAAGTGGCTTCTTGTCGGAAGTCGGTAAAGTTTGTTTACCTGGATATTTTGATGCGCGGGTAGGCAGGTGGTAAGTAGGAACCGATTGTGTAGGTTAATGTCGATGCGGGTTAAATGGTCTAAAAGAAACCATGTGGCGTTGGTTACCTTGGAGGAGAGTGCTGATGAGTTGGACAAAGTTGTGACATGCTACTCATAAGGTTGCTGAATATTCTTCGACAGCCCAAGACAGATTTCGTTCTTCTTGGGGCCCATCAGGGAGGTGCAGTCCCCGAGATACCGTCAGCCTTATGTTCTAGTTGAACCCAAATTGCACGAAATTTGACTACTGAACTAATCTGTACACCGATTCCGCTTTGTCTGTACACCGATTCAGCTTTGATGAGGGACTAATCTGAAATCAAGCTGAATCCCTAGTTTATGGTACTCTTCAAATGAGTGGACTGTTGAAGGGATTTGATTAATCAATCCATACAACCTTAAATTCAGTTTACTTCGAGGAAGAATTGTTATTAGTGCCGGTTTAGGTTCAACCCCCCTTTTAATTAAATCAGTGGAAACTTCTGCTCCGTTTTTATTCCAACTAAGTATTTTTTTCTCGAAATTTTATTGACTTCCATTTTGTCAACAGATTTTCAGTCATGGATGGCTCCCTGCATCTCCGGAAGTAGTTTACCACATTATTAATGTCCATCATTCTGTCAAAAAGTCAGATTCTAACCAACAGTTAATCGATGTGATGAGAGCACCAGCACATATCCGTCGAAACCTGCATAGCTGGATGTTTTTCGACTCGGAACAGGTTATCTCAAGACAGTTTTTCCAAAAAGTGATAACTGTGTCCGCCGGTCATCCGGAAGTAAACATACTTTCGCATACTTTTGCATACCAATCTGGTTCCGACGGGAGACTCATATGAAACCGAGCTGAATCTCTCGTTTCTGATCTATCTTTGGACATAATGTTGTTTTAAAAGGATCCTAAACAAGACATTTAACTGGATTTCAG